GATGAGTATGTGTTCAAAAGGTGCCCCTAAAACTGGAATAGGGTGTAATGGAGCGGGTGGAATGACTTGGTTAGGCTTACCGCTAATCTGACAGGTGTGACAAGAACGACAATACTTAAATGACGCAGAATGCGGTGGTAGGTTTTTCTAATACCTAAATGTCCAGACTTTTGTTTAGGTCCTATGAAAAAACATATAATTCAATTCAATTCAATTAAACTTTATTGATCCTGAAGGTTGACCCCGAAGGAAATTGGGTTAAGGCTGCCGACCTTTTGCCAACTCCATCTTACCCTTCCGACCATACATACATTACACAACATCACATGGGGAAGACAGGTCAGAGAGGTATAACAATGGAAAATGCACAACATGAGGAAAGACAAGGAGAAAAAAGAACTTCCCCAGACTGAGCTCCAACAGGGAGCTCAGTTTGAGAACAGAAAAAAACCTCAGGCAGGAAAATAGCACATGAATCATCACATCTCACAACATAGAAGACATAAGCTTCAAAGACGTTTGGAGGGGGTGGGTGGGTGTAGGTCTGTGTCAGTGTACATGTGTAGGTGTGCGTGTGTGTTCCATGTTCAGCCGAGAGAAAGTGTCCCTTCACCCGGTTAGGCAAAAGTCAACAATCTTCGGTCGACGCGGGTGACCTTGAATGAGGAGGGAGAGAGTCACAACAGTCTTATTATCTAAGGGAGAATTGTTATTCTTTTGCCTTGAGCATGCAGCTGGCGCTAGGGGGGGCCACATGAGATGAAGATGGTAGTGGTTTTGGTTAGTGCAAACAAACTGCATCCAATTTTAGAGTAGGTGTAATGTCCGTCACTAGTCACCAGGTCTCTCAATTCCCGTTGTTCTTCTCCAAGATCTTATTCATATTGCATTCAAAAAAACACAGTCTGAGTACACACAGTTCTGCCCATCATCTATCATGTCGGCCAGCCTTGTGGGTTTTTTAACAGCTGTAGCTGCTTTTGTTCTTTGATAAGCCAGGTCTGAGCCAGCTCCAATAGGCCAGAACTCCGTTATCATGGTTCCGAATTGGTAGATGTCATTCAATGTCTTCCATCGAGAGTGTCGCCAGACACATGACGCAACCGGCCATCGAGTATCCGGCAGGGAGAGGGAGAAGGAGAAAGTGCGACCGCCTCCGTCAAGAGTCAAGAGATGACAAAATTCCCGCCACATGTTGGAATTAGTTGTTGTGAACTGCGTTACCCAAATACTTGTCCACCCATCTTCTGTAATCTCAATGT